TTGTAATCACAAAGAACTATTTCTTTCTGTACAGAAGAGGGAAAAAAACCTTGAAGAGACAGGGCCATTAATGATTAATGTGAGACATTTAAAATGCAAAAAGTCATCAAGTGGAAAACATGTTCCCACAGTCAAATTTTATTCCAAGTACTCCTTTGCAAGCTGTATTACTTGGTGGTAAAATGTYGGTTGATATTGAGTAGTCATTAACTTAAAGTTTATTGACTTCAACTTTTTAGTTGCAATTATTACTATTTTTAATGTGCTATTGCTAATATTCCTCAAAAAAAAAAAAAAAAAAAGACTGCTCAGTGATGAGAATGGAAAAAAAGAAATTAAATACTAGTTGATATGTTAAAGTTAGTAGTGATAGGGTTGAGTGGGTAGGGAAATTGAAGATGTGAGTGATTTAAGCCCATTACTCTGGGTGACTGTACAGCATAGTTACTCCTGTGAGTGTAACTCATAATATCTAATGCTTCAAATTGCTGGTGATTCCTTTCTCAGGTCTTTTTTTCTTAGGAGCTCAGCTCATTTCACTGTCTGCTGTTTTGTTCCCAAATCATGCTTTCAGCTGGAAGACTCTGTAAAGGAAGATGGCATATGAAATGGCCAGCTGATGGCTTTACATTGTCAAATGTAGCATGCAAATGGATTTGAAAGCTCAGTAAAAAGGTTCTAGTGAACTTTTGCCTCAAACTTASAGAGCATGTAATTCGAGAGAAAGCGTACTAAGCATTGCCTGCTTTGGTGAAGACACTCTCCTGGCAGGGCACGACGAGGTCGTGTTGTTTCCTCTGTCATCCTCAGCACAACTCTTCTGTGTTTTTAGGTTTGGGTGCCAGCACTGGACCCACCAAACAGAACCATGRTAATGCTCCTCTATGAATAGTCTTGGATTCAGAGGTAGTGGGTGGCTTTTGTTTTTGTGTATGAGGAGCTGAGTTGGTTTTCGCACTTGGCTGGAATAAATTTAAAGTTCCATGAGCTGCCTTTGACCCTCCTGAAGCTGTCCACCCTTTCTCCATGAGGGAGCASCAGTCTGCTGTGTAGTAAAGCTTGGTGCACGTCTCGTTCCCCCTTTGGAATGCTGCCACAGTCATGTTTGGAGACAGTCACTTCTGAAAGTACCTGCTCCATCTTCTCTGCTCCTCTGGGAAGGGGAGATCTTTAGAGATAGATGTTAAATCAACTAGGTGATGTACACAGAAAGATCCAGGGCAAACAGACTCTTCTGGACTCATGATTTTGGCCTGAATGTGGCTCGAAGGATTAGGTCCTCTGCTTAGTTAGCAGCAATTCTTTTTGTTCTGTTAATTGTTGTTGTTTTGAAGTTTTTATTGTGGGTTTTTTGGTTTTTTTTTTTAGTTTTTCTTCAAATTGTTTTTATTTTTTAAGAATGCCGAATAATTTTCTGATGCCAGTGACTGAATAATAGAATTAAATGAAGCCACCACTGGCTTAGATTCAAGTACTGTGGGATCACTGGTAGTTTCAGTGGTAGTTCAGTAGGCATTAAGACCTGTACATAACTAAAATTGGATGTTGTTTTAAAACATCACACTATGATTTTTTTTATTTTAAATATTTAATAGATAGCTTAAGGTTTAAAAAAGAATAAAAATAAGGGTTCTATGAATTAATYTGTGTAATAATTTCAAAATCTGCAAGTCTGCCACCCACCAGAAGTTTAATTTTTCAGTAGGTTGTAGGTTAATGGGAGACAGTGGCCAAACCATAGGGCAGGAAATAATAAAAAAATTATATCAATGAACAGTCAAACATGAATGGTTTTAGCAATTGTCAGKGAATGTGACAGCTGTTGTGCAAGAACCCATTCAAATGTGGTTATATAATCAATCTTTTTCCCCAAAAGAGAAGGAAATACACTATTAACACTGACATATACCACTTAAATACAATGTAAATATTGCAGGTATTGTATGTATTTTAGAAAACATAGACTGAGAAATGTAGAATGAGAAATAAAACTCCTTCTTTACAGGTTTCTTTCAAAATGCAAATTTATGTCCCAAGGGACCAGTGGAACTTAAACTAGAAATACAGTCTGTATTTAGGGAGTTTTAAAAACACACATTACTGAATTGATAGAGCATAACAGTTCCCTTGCTTAGGCAGCATTATGCTCCATCTTGTAAAATGTACTTGGGGACATGTAAAATGCTTTATTAAACCTACAGTCCATAACTAGAGTTGTTACATTTTAATGTATATATATTTCATTCATGGATTACTGAACCTCTAAATCCAAAGAATTTGACCTCATGCCAAAAAATTTCTTTGAGTCTCATTTTGAGTCTTTTCACTTCCTGTGTAACTGGAGCAGAACTCAAATTTTAAAGCTRTCTTTCAGAGCTCCCCTGTATACAATTGTACATTTAAAAGCAGGCAAGGAAGGAAGTTACTATTTACTTTTGCATAAACTGCTTTCAAAAAAAGAAGTTTGTGAAGCATTTCTTGGGGGGGAGGGGGAGATCTGCAATTTTGAGGAGAGAATTCTTGAATTTAATGTTGTTTATAACCATGAGGGTTGTATGCAAAAAGAAACGAGGAAAATAATTTCATTGCAAGAACCTTTATTTTCCCCCTCCATACTTAAGGTTGGCTTGCTATWTAGGGAGTGTGTTTCTCCCTGCTTTTATATGGTGTATTGTTCTTTCCTGCTCATGAAAAGATAGCAGTTGTCATAAAACAGCRGTGATTTAAGCATTCTTGTGTGCCCAGTGATTTCAGGGTATTGTGTTTGTATTGTATTTGCCTTCTGATTTCTCCTACTATTATTAGAAATAACTCTAGGGAAGAAGTTGAACTGCAAGGAGCTGAAAAGTAAGAAAGTTACATCTCTTCTCTGCATTTTCCAGGGCTCCAAATAAGTGATATTTGTGGTACAYAAAATATCTCTATTGATCTGAAACATCTCATTGCCGTGGTCAAACCAAAAATTCCCCTACAAACACATATCTGGGCTTTGTTACTCATCTCATGCCTGAAGAGAAACAGGAACTGAGAGAATTAATGGATATAAATCTGTGGTCTAGGTTTCAACATTTTCGATGCCAAAATATCAGTCTGAAAGATTTCTCATTGGTGTTGATTTTATTGATATTATTGATGAAATAACTTTCAGCTAAGCAACAATGACATATTATTTGTGAAATGGAACACCAAGGAGCAAGATGAGTAAAATCASAAGGGTTGCCTTTATTTTTGTGCATCTTTAAAAAAAAATAAGACTGGTTGAGAGAGTAATAGAGCAAGTTTTGAAARGGAGTGTTATGTGCTTAAAATATGCATAATTATGTTATTACAGGCCAAAAATATTTTGCCTGTAAAGAGATAAGGATGTTTCAAACACTTTCTGAAAGAAAGGGAATTTATACAAGGCAAGTTTTGTAAGAACAATTTACCCTTTTGTTTTACTTGGTGTATTTTTTCTAWGTTAGGAATATTGATTTCCATGAAGCTTTGAATTTTTCTGTGATCCTCCCTCTGCTTTTCTTTTCTGTTCTCCTTGATTGTTATTATAACAACATTTCAGATTATTTATTCTGAGGCATTTCCATGTGTGGAAAATTTGCTAAAGGAGAATACAGCCAAGATACATAAGAATTTATTTTGCTAGCTTCTGACTGAGAAATGGTTGTGCCAATCCTTAGGCAACAAACTGTTATTTCAGGCTGTAAGAGTCTACAATGTCTATGCAGGTATGGTTAATGACCAGGCTCTGAATTCCTTACATTTGCCCCAAATCCCCTTTTTTAGTTTGTTTACTGATGAGGAAGCACTGTACATGACATTACAGTTGCACTGAAACCTTCTACTSTAAACATCTCTACTACTCTAACATCTAACAAGACAGCAAGTGCTTACTAGATAACCTGTTGCCTAGCGCTGCTAAATTCATCTCAACAGAATCAACTTAGGAACTCCATTCAGACTGCTTTTCTGAAGACTRTTTTAATTTTTGAGGCATGAATGAAGCACATATTATTAATATAGATCACAACACAATGCAGTATTTGGAGCATCTTTTGTTCCAAGCTAATGACTATTTAATAAGTTTCACCATTTTAGATAAGAAAACAGATCTCCTTTTAAGATAGCATAAATGTTAATTAAGTTTTCTTGCACCAAAATATTCTTCAAAATAAGTGAATATTGCTTACAGATATTCTCTTCTGAACATTGCTGAACTATCTATTKAAGGCTAGAATTAATAGAAAACCACCCTCTTTATTTTCAGAAGAGAATAATAATGTATTTTAAAATGTGTTTTGGTTACTTAGGTTTCTTTCTACTAAAAAAGTTGAGGTGTTTTCAGCAAAGTTTACCTCCCTTGTAACCTTTCTCCTTTTCTATGCTTATACTCTATACAGGTTCTATTTCATAGAAAAAAACTATCTAATAAAATCTATCTATTTAATAGTAGCCTTCATGTTCTTAAATGATGCAAAATGCACTATTAAAACTGGAAAATTAAAAATCTATGACAAAGCTTGAAAAACAGTTATAAAATGGGAGCACACATGTTCATGTACATAAATAACGCCAAAAAAAGGAAATAATCCACATTTTACCTGTCAAATTTCAAGAATAACAGTCATTGTAACTGACCTTTTCATTTTCTGCAGTAATAGTAAGAATCCTTCCTTTTTCTTCCCCCCCCCCCCCCCATTTTCTTTACTTCACTGGTTTCTGTTGGAGACAGAATGAAAAAAGTTGTTACATTTACATGTCAGGAATCATGACATCTGGAGCAAGGCTGAATGCATTATTTCTTGGTGAGAGTGTTACACAATAAGGCTTGACTGACATTATACAAAATCTGAGAYGCTTTCTGATCAGCTGATTTAATTAAAACAAGATATTTGGTTCTGCACAATGCCTGTGCATAATCTATTTTAAGCCTTTCWAACACACCAATATCTACTGTAAAACGTTATTAGATTGGCTTGCGTGACTTGTCGTTGTGTTTGCAGATACCTCAAATCAGCTATGCATCTACAGCTCCGGAACTGAGCGATAACACCAGGTATGATTACTTCTCTCGAGTGGTGCCACCAGACTCCTACCAAGCACAGGCCATGGTTGACATCGTGACGGCCCTCGGCTGGAACTACGTCTCWACGCTGGCGTCCGAGGGCAACTACGGAGAGAGCGGCGTGGAGGCGTTCACCCAGATCTCCAGAGAAATCGGTGAGTRGGTGTTTGTGGGCTTTGGTGTTTATGGCTGCTGAGCTGCAGAGCGTCGCTGAGCTCTGCTGAGGTGTGTATGGTGTGATCAGAGCACCCATGGGTGTTACCTGGACTCCAGAGGGCGATTTTGCTTCTTGTGTGCCTGCCAGGGTGGTGATTCTGGCAGCAGTTTAGGAAGGGAGGCAAAAAATCTATGTGTCTTGACCCTTTTGGAAAGGGGGAATTCCATGATGAGTTAAGGGCAAAAAGCAGCYATCTGCTGAGCTACAGCCAGATTTGAGGCAATGTGATTGATTTAATTCAGGAAAGTTATTGTCCAGTGAGAGCTCCTTCCATGTTCCAGCATGGATAGACCTAGAGTTTTTAATTTTGATGAATTTTAAAAACAACAAAAGCCCTCCACTCTGCAGTAAAAGACATAACCTTACCATTTTTCCTTCATATTACAATGTGCTGTACAAATACAAAYGTTATGAGAAGTATATTTAAGTCCCTTTGGCCCTCTCCAAATTATTTTTTTCACACTTTCATAGTTTTTTTTCTGGCCTAGAAAAAATGGCTGTTTCTCAGGAGCAGTAGGTTTTGGACACCGAGGAATAACATGATGAGTAACAGATGGTTTGAAAGAGAGTGGAATTGGTCTTTCAGCAAGCACAGTGTTAAATGACTTACAACTGACCCCCACCTCAGAAAGCCTGGGTTAATCTACTAGATTTGACTTTCAGGACATGTACATGTAAACTCCAGTTCTTTGGAATCAGCTTAGGTGAGAAAATATGATAATAACTTCCACTTTCACTAATTCCGTGTGAATATAGCGAGCATCTCTATCACACAGGAAGGCACATGTGTGTTTCGGGTACTTACACTTGCACCACAAAGGTAAGTGATTACCTGCAGGAACCTGGTTGTAGAAAAAAAACCACAGCCATCCTTATTTTTAGGGACCCAGTGTGTGTAATATGCTCGATAGTTTAACCCATAAATATTCCATCTGCTGATCATTGCTGTCAGCTCCCACATGTCTTCATGGGAGACCCAGAGCTGTCTACTGTACATTGCTTTGACCTGGAGCTGGAAAAGGCATGGATAATTCTTTCACAGGTCATGTCTAAAAGAGATGGTTCATCTATTGCAAATCAATTGGCTTCCCCAGACACTCACTGAATTCATTGGCTGAAAAGTCTTTTTTTTTTTTTTTTCTCAAATCCATCTATAAGGCATCTAGTTCTGAGTTCTGAAAGCAAACAAATGAAATACAGGACTCTTTACTGTTTCCCAGGAGTATGAGAGAACTTCAGATGTATGCAAGCAAAACCTGTAATTACCTTATAATCACAATTACTCGAGTCTGTGTCAGTTGGATCTTGATTGATCCTGGAATAAAAAGACCATTGTGATTTGATAAATAATTAACATKAATAAAATAATTAATTAAATATTAGTAGCAGGATTGTGAATCCAAAGCAGTTAAAATCATGAACAGATACCCTAAACATTACAAGATCTGTGTAATATCAAGAAGCATAATAAGTTGTGATTTGTGGTTTGATTTTTTTTTTCTGCCTTGTGATTTATGTTTTCTACTAGAACACTTGATTTTTGGCAACCTCTGTGCTCCCAGCAACTTACCAACTATTATGGGTATCAGGGACTCTAATGGCTCTGAAGAAGGAAAACAGAGGGAGGCAGACAAGTAATTTTTATTTCCTAGAAAAATGTTCAAGTAAACAATCAGGTAAATCATGTGTAACCACAGGGACATGATTGATAACCAGTGCAGAATTGTCAAGAAAAATAGTATCAAATCCATCTAATAATTTTCTTTGACAGGATAACAGCTTATAGCTGGAGAAAAAGCACTTGATGTGCCATGTCACTTGAATTTTCTAGTGTTATCTCAATTGTCACATACAGAATTCTCCTGAGCAAATTGGGCAATTGTGATCTAGCTGTAAATAGGCTGAATGCAGACCCTATTTAGAAAACTTTGCTCAGAGATTAATTAGCTGTCATTTTTGTTTAAATGAAAAAATGMATTGAGCGGTATTTGGCAGTTGTTTAAGCTGAATCAGGTACTAGGCAATATTTTAATGTTGTGGACTTGTAATGAAGAAAACTGTAAAATCTGGAGGTTGCTTTAAGGTCAGAAGGGCTAAGACTAAGACTGGGAGAGTATCTAGAAGAAATACTTTGAGTCCAAATCTGAAAACACTGTCTGGAAAAGGACAAATTTAAGACATCAGCAAGGCATTTGGCTTCGGCAAGAAGGATCTGTACASTGAGGAATTCAGACAGATTGGTTAGAAAATACTATTTTAAAAAAATGGTGCAAGGGTGATAGTAAATTATGACCTGTATTCCTCATGTTTTAATGGAACATGCAGATGGACATGCCATCTGTAAAGTAACTTGAGTAATCTTCCAATTTGTCAGTCAGTTGTGAAACGTCATTGTGACTCAGTGCAGGTTTTGACCCTCGCTTCAGAAAAGGTGAGAACTCCTCAAGCAAGCAAGCAAGAACAAAGACAAATCTCGAAAATGTGGTATATGAGGAGTAACTGAGCAGGGGGGCTTAGTTAGCCTTAAAAGGGGCTGATTGAGAAGAGAATGTGATGAAAAATAATGTTCCAAATAGGCTTTTGCAGAAAGGTAGAGGACCTCTTATTGATCCAAATATGTAAACAGAAGTAATAAAATAATCTCTAGCCTGATTCTGTCTAGATTTTGAGAAAACCCCTTTTAAAGTTTAAGACATTAARTATTTTACTAGCTTGCCTGGGGACAGTTTGGAAGCTCCATTGCTAAGGATCTGGGAGAATGCATTAGCCAAACACCTGCCTGGTGATTATGTAAGTGTACTTAGCTCTTGCTGGGGGCTGGGAGGTGGATTGGATGGTTYCTTAATGTCCCTTCCAGCCTGATCCTATTATCCACTGTCTTCAGACTTTTCACCTGGGCCACAGGGCTGGAAATGCTTTTAGATTGAAAACTTTGAATAACATCTATGAGGTCTGAAACTACAGAGTCTACATAGCTTTACATCGTATAATCATCACATGGTRTAAGACTGCACACAACAGCAAAACTTACCAGCTCTGTGTCAATAAACTGAATGTTAAGAGAACCTAATCAGGTCACTGTGCCTCTTGTGCAGCTGGCATACAAATATACAGGACAGCTCAACTCCTTGCTGAGCGCTTTATATCCTGCTTAAGATAAGTAGCCAACAACTGGACGCAAAATGAATGTAAAGAGCAGCATAATGAAAAGCAAAAAAATTGAGGAAAGKATGTGAAAAATATTCATGTATTCATTTTGGAAAAAAAATTAGTGTATGAGAGGACATATGAGAGCAGATTAAAAAATATAAATAGGAAAGCTTGTTTTTTCTGTTTAATATTTGTATTGGGTTTTAAAGTTGAGAGTAGAAAAAGTGCTAGGGTTTTACATAATTTTAAAATTGAGATAAACTGCATGTACTTATAGTTTAATGTTATTTTGACTCTGCCTCTAAATTCCAGTTTGATTGGCCCTCTCTTCAACTTCTATTTCTTGATCAGTAACAGAAGCAAAAGGAAGAAACAAGCTCCCAAATGAAATGTTGAATACTGAAAAGGTCAAAGTGGTGCCACCCTGACATGTCACCAAATATATCACATACCAAAATCTGTTCTCATTGTAGTGACAAAGATCCTGTCTGGGACAAAGCMGAGCTGGAAATTAAATATTTTACATGACAACGATTGGGAGGAGATTATTCCAACTCATTCTTTCATGCATTGTTTGAAGACAATGATTAAATTTATAGAATTTCTAGTCCTATTAAAAAGTTAATGATACCACTGTAATCATTTTGACATAATGATCAAATCATTTTGGTACATTGACCAAAGCAATGAATTCATAATAATTGCTTAAGAGTTGAAGCATTAAACTGAAACTTGACTCACTGATACAAACTAAAATGGGGAAAAAGAGGAAGCACATTTTACTGAATCCTCATTAAACTGTCATGCTAAATATTAGTCTTCTATTTACTTACTGTTCATTATCTTTGATAAAATAAGTGTTGGAAAGTCTCTAATCCAACTTTCTTTTAATAGTTCACTCCCTCTGTTAATAGAAACYAAATGAATTGACCATTAAAGAGAAAATCATCAGTTGCTTTTCCCTTTTATTTTTTTTTCCAAAATACAAAAGCATTTGGTTAAACAAATATCTTTGAGTTCAGAATACTTGCTCAGTCAGTGAGATGTTTGTACTGGAAAATACAACAATTTTATTGACGGATTTTATTCACCACTATTGGTCAACTGCTGATAGGTCACTGGCAGTGAAAGGTCTATGAAACTCTTGGAAGAGGAGGTAAAAATGATAAAGGCAGGTAACAGATCATTAAGAATAGGTGAGAAACTTCAGCATTGCTTGCCCCTTTTTGCTTCTATGTTGATTTTGCATGTCTTGCCAGTGGTGTAATGAAGACAGTAAAGGGCTTTTAATCAAAAAGCATATTTTTATCTTTGACTGGTCAAAATGACAGCTTCATGGCAGCTTTATCCCAGAAAAGAATGATGCACTTAATATCAGGGTATGACCTTGTATACATGTTTTTAGGATCAAGGTTCTGTAGTTTTACCTACTCTTGTTGTACTAGTGCACTGCAGTTGACAGCATTTTTCTGAGGAGGGACTACAGTTACTTTATGATCTTTCATAATATTTTATCATTGCAGTGACATTGAAAGCTATRTGTTATTGATAATGAATGGATGTGCTGAATGAATGCTCCAGCAGCTTTATTTAAAGTGTTTCAGACTTCAGCGTAGGTAACTGTAATTTGTTTATGTAGGGAATGGTCTGTGACAGTTCTTACATCACGGTTGTCTCCCGTCAGTCCTCTTTGTGTTTTTACAGTTGTGCATTGTACTTCTGCATATCCCCAAATTATTGGATTTCTTCTTCACAGAAGAATCAGAGAATAGTTAGGGTTAGGGATGCTTCTGAGGATCATCTAGTCCAACCCCCTTCCAAGGAGGGTC